CTTTCTTCCTTTCTTCCTTTCTTTCTTTCTTTTTTCTTTCTTTCTTTCTTCTTTTTCTTTCCTCTTTTTTTCTTTCTTTCTCTCTGACTGGACACAACTTTGAAACCATCTAAATTATAACTTGGTGCACTCTGTATTGAATGCAGTTCATTTCCATTCTGCAGTATAGCTACATGCTCCTTTTCTAGGTCCATTTCTTTTTCCTCATTTAATTCACATTGTACCTTCACACATGCATCTAATTTAGTCTTTCATAATATCATATTATAGAATCTCTAAATGCTACAGAGCTAAACTTGATTTAGGTATCCTCCATGTTGCCTAACAAAACTCAGCTAATCTGCTGAATGTGTGCTGTAAGCTTGGCACTTGATAGGCACACTGCAGATGTTTTAGCTGTTACAGATGAGGAAGCAGACTCCAGAGAGGTGAATCAACTAACTTTGAAGTGACAATGCAGGGTGGTAAATCTAGGTCTCTAAAATGAGCTCTTGTCTTCCCCTAGTCTCTTCAGATGTTTCTATTCTTTGTAATTATATATGACATATATAATTTTTAAAAATATGTAAAGTTCTCAAATATTAAAAGGACTTTCCTTTTATTTTTTAGTGCATTTCTAATAATTTTAACTATGTTTTTTCACTATTTTGAACATTCGTCCCACTTTATTATTTTAAAGCCAGATGCAGCAGCCTTTCTCTCTCTCTCTCTCTCTCTCTCTCTCTCTCTCTCTGTGTGTGTGTGTGTGTGTGTGTGTGTGTGTGTGTGTGTGTTTAGTAGACTTAATATTTTCAGAACAGTTTTAGATGCCTGCCTCTGCCTTTGAAAGCGCAGATTATAGCTGTGAGCCACTGTGCCTGACCTGCAATTCATTTTTGATACATCTTTTTCTAACTTTTTAATCACTTTATATGTTTGCTTATTGTATAATAACCATTCATTTATTATAGAAGTAATTAATTCCACTTATATAACTTTTTAATTTCTAATTATATGAAGTGTCCATGCAGAATATTTTTTAAAGGAAATTGAGTTGAAAACAAATGTTTGTGTTCTTAGAGTAGACATAGTAAATGATATCTACTGTAGTAAAAATATATTAATAACTGCCTAAATGTCTGTTTAACAATATTTTTAATACACTAAAAATTTCATTTATTTCATTTTTAAACAATAAATACTATACTTACTTGGCAGGGAGGTTATAATGATCACGAAGGTGGTTTTTCCAGGGCAATGCTTGTCCATTGCACTCTGGACATACTGACTCCTGCGATTTCCCCAAATGTGGGAAAGTCAACTGCATAATTTGTGGTAGTGGTGGACTATGTTTGCGCTTTCCCCTGATTTGAAGAAAAAAATAAAAAAGTATAAAGAATAAATACTAAACGTAATTGTAATTGGGTGATCAAAGATCTCAGTCATGTATCACTGGTTCCTCAGATATTTCAGTGTCATCTGTAAGTCATTAAACATTTCTTTCATTTTTGTTAGACATACCATCTTTGATATGAAGTACTTAGAGTTTAAATACATAATCAAGAAAGCTATTTTCCCTCAATAATCTTTATTGTAATTTATTTAGTAGTGTAAGAAAGAGCTTTAATTTTGCTTTCTTGGCATAGTTATTATTTATTCTGAAGGATGTTACTTAATCTCCTATTCAGCATCATATCCTGGTTTGTCATTTAAACACTGTGATAAAACAATGTGCAATTAGTAACCTTTTTTTCAAGAAGTTGCTATGCAGAAACTATTTCAACTCACTGAAATCAGCTGTACTTCCATCTCCACAAATCACTGGTAAGATTGCTTAGTTTCTAAAATTTATTTTGGTTTGTTAATTATAACCGAATAACAAAATAAAGGTAAAATATTTTCTTTTAAAATGTTTCAGGTTTGAGAAAGAAAACCAAAAATTGTAAGAGTCTATTTCTTTGTCAACTATAGCAAGATTTTTCTATGTACTTTTTCTTATAAGAATGAAGCTAATTTTTTACGAAGAAGACTTTCCTTGCTGATTATATCTTACTTTTTAAACAATTCACCTGTTCTGCAGGTTATTTCTTTTACATCTCCATTTTGTGTAATAAGTTTTAGGCTAATAGGGAAACTGCAGACAGTATCAAGGGCACTATCGACCCTGCAGACTGCTAAAATATACTCTTTGTAAAAATATCCACTGTTAGAAGCATTTGTGTTAAAAACAAAAAAGAGCCTCAAATAGCTGACTTTTAGGCTAAGTGTCTTTATATATTAGGTGGCCCTCTGAAGTACAGTTGATGAGAATTAAATGTATTAATACATCTTACAAAATGAGATATGGTTCAGTAATGTGTTATGCATCTTTTCTACTTAAATGTTTATACAGGCCTGAAAACTCATCTTTATTTTGGTCTTGATAATTATCTTTCACAGAGACTGTAACTACTGTAGTTTTCAGATCATTAGTTAGACTTGATGATAGTTTTTGTAGTATAGATAGAAGCTGGCAACTTGCCTTTGATGCATAGTTATTCTTTACATCTTTTGAAATAATTTATGAATCAGTAATGGTCCTTTTCTGTTGGTACACCCTTGGGTTTTGTATATTGCCTGTACACCTGTCATGGACACAATCACATTTATTAACCCATTCATTCATGCAATCATTCATCACACATTCAGTACTTGATTATTTGAGTACTTATTTTCTGCCTGCTTTTAGGTAAGTTTGTGAGTTAATTTCTGAGGCTCTTGGTGGTGATGTCAGCATTTGATGAATAAATTGGATTACAAGACATTTTGGGCTGCTTGCAAATTAGGCCATCACTACTGAAATTCAGTACGGTAAGTGATCCTATATTCTTTTCTCTAAGCCTTATCCAGTATAACTCTATGTGAAGATGTGAATACCTGTATCTATGCCATTTAATGTGATAGCTTCTAGCCTCATGTGGCTTGCTATTGGACACTTGCAATATGGATATTGTGACTGAAAATAACTGAATTTTTACTTTATATTTAATTAACTACATGTACATAGTAACTACCCTAATGGTTAGTGTAATTCAAAGGTATATAGCTAATATCTATTGCTTAACTGTTACTTCAAAAGGAAATTTATGGCTTTAAAGAATATTAAGAAATAATCTGTGGGACAGGCATGGTGGCTTGTGCCTATAATCCCAGCACTATGGAACGATGAATTGGGTGGATCACTTAAAGTCAGAAGTTTGAGATCAGAATGGCCAACATGATAAAATACAATATCTACTAAAAATTAAAAAAATTGCCATGCATGGTGATCAGTGCCTGTAATCCCAGCTACTTGGGAGGCTAAGTTAGAAGAATTTCTTGAACCTGGAATTTGAAGGTTGTCATGAACCAAAATCATGCCACTGCAATTATGCCTGGGTGACCAAGCTAGATGCCATCTTAAACAAGAAGGAAGGAAAGAAGGAAGGAGTGAAGGAAAAATCTATGTATCTGTAATAGGTAAATTGTCTTCAAAAATAGTTTTTCCACCTTTACACAATCTCTTTAAGTGCATCGAGTTCAGAAAGACATATGACTGACAACCCTTATTAGCTTTACCTAGCATCGCAATAAAGTTTCTGGAAGTCAGAAAAATATTGAGTGGCAGGCATGTCAGATATCTTAGTGTCAGAATTTGGATAGAACTTTAATTAACAATAAAATAGCTCCTGGTAAAATAAAATTATTTTTAAAAATGATGGCTTTCAATTAGCCAAGAGAAAATCTGTAGAAAGATATTTTGTAACTCTTGTCTGCCCCCTGGATTAGAGATCTGTGGTGTTATCCTGTCCTACCATAACTATGCTCCGGTGGTGCTAAGCTGTTTAACGGCCACAGTATATTCCCCCTGATTCTAGTCACCTTTTCTTCGTATTCCTAATATTTCCTTTCAGAGACAACAATACACATATAATCATGCACATGGAATTTTGATTAGGGAATAAAATTTGAACATTCATTCTTTGCTTTTTGGAAGTTAAAGTTCTTGTCTGCAGTTGGCAAAAGAATAGACAAATACAACAATGGAAAGTCTGGAAATAAATTCACACAAATATAGTCAATTGATTTTTTTTACAAAGGTGCAAAATGCAATTTAATAGAGAAAAGATAGTATTTTCAACAAGTAGAGCTGGAATAATTGGATATTCATATGCAAAAAAAGAAGTATAGACCTAAATTTATAATGCAAAACTATAAAACTTGAAAATGAAAACAAGAGAAAGTCATTTGATCTTAGGTTTTGTGATGAGATATAACCTCATAAGCAAGATATATGGAATAAAATAAGTAGATCAGTTAGACTTCCTTGCAATTAAAAACATCTCTGTGGAAGACACTGTTAAGAGAATGAAAAGACACAATGTCAAAACCCATAGAGCTTCACACCACCAAGAGTGAATCTCACTGTTTGCAAATTCAGGTCAGGTGATCCCAGATTGAATGCAGACTGTGACAAAACAACCTAACTCTAATCCCCTCTCTGAATAGGGTAGGGCTGTGGGAAACGTGCTGAGCTAACTAATGATTTTAGTTCCAAGAAATTAAAGATTGCTTAAATAATGTATACTTGCAGTTTAAAACAAATTTTCAAACTATTCAATAAGATATACAGAGATAGCAAAGTAGGAATTTCTGCCCATGTTCCCTAACATCATTCTCCACTGGTAACTAGAATTAACAATTTTGTTTCTTAGTTATCCTTGTAGAATTGTTTGAGTTTAAAAGCCTATGTATTTGTAATTAAAACACACAATCAAATTGGATTATATTATAGATAGTGTATGCATATATATAGGCATTGACAATTTCTCTTCCAAGTGAATGAGCATAGTTATTCATCCCCTCCCTTGCCAACATAAGCATTATCAAAATTTTAATGATCATTGGGTCTGAAATATTGCCCAGACATATTAAATGGCTTTGTATTCACTATGAAAACATTATTTTATTCAAGTGGGCTCCTTCTTTCAGGAAAAGCTGTTCATTTGCAAGTGCAGCTCATGGTTATTAATTCAAAAAAGGAGGAACTTAATCAATCTGCAAATAGTATCAAATAACTTGAGGTAATTGTTAAACATATTTTTGAAAATCAAACTAAGAGTTTATTCTGAATTAATAGCATTGAGGAAGTTGAATGGAAAATAAACAAAAACACAGGCATTAATTAAGGATATTAGCAATCCAGTAATATAATCTCCATATGGAGCATCCATATGGTCTACACACAGATGTTTTTAGGATTTATTAGATTCCAGACAGGGCTCTTTAGTAGCCTTTGTTTAGGCACATAAAATGATCTGCTTATTTATGCTTCTGTACTTTTAAACAGTATTTATTTGTTTGTTCATTTATGCATTTATTTATTTATTTAATTTTCTCTGTCTTTTTTTTTTTTAAGTTCTAGGGTACATGTGCAGATCTTTCTGTATTGTTACATAGGTGTGCACAGGCCATGATGATTTGCTACCTCTATTCCCTTGTCACCTACCTTAGGTATTTCTCCTAATAGTATCCCTCCCTAATCTCCTCACTTCCTGTTATCCCTCCCCTTATGCCCCATCCCCAACTCACCCTTGTGTGATGTTCTACTCCGTAAGTCTATGTGTTCTCATAGTTCAACACCCATTTATGATTGAAAACGTGCACTGTTTCTTTTTCTGTTCTTGTGTCAGTTTTCTGAGAATGATGGTTTTCAGCTTTATTCATGTTCCTGTAAAGGACATTAACTCATCCTTTTTTGTGGCTACATTCCATGCCACATTTTCTTTATCCAGTCTATCATCAATAGACATTTGAGTTGGTTCCATGTCTTTGCTATTGTAAACAGTGCTGCAATAAACATACAAGTGTATGTGTCCTTATATAATATTTTATAATACTTTTAGTATACACCCAGTAATGGGATGGCTGGGTCAAATGATATTTTTATCTCTAGATCCTTGAGGAAGTGCCATACTGTCTTCCAAAATGGTTGAACTAATTTAAACTCCCACCAATCATGTAAAAATGTTCCTATTTTTCCTCATCCTCTTCAGCATCTGTAGTCTCCTTATTTTTTAATGATTGCCATTCTAACTGGTGTGAGATGGTATCTAAATGTGGTTTTGATTTGTCTTTCTCTAATGACCAGTGATGATGAGCGCTTTTTTCAAATGTTGTTTTGGCTGCATAGATGTCTTATTTTGAAGAGTGTCTGTTCATATACTTTGCCCAATTTTTGATTTTTTTCTTTGTTTTTTTCTTGTAAATTCATTTACATTGTTTGTAGATTCTGGATATTAGCCCTTTGTCAGATGGGTAGGTTGCAAAAGTTTTTTCCCACTCTGTT